CACACACACACACACACACACACACACACACACACACACACACACACAAAGGGAGGCTCACATAGAAAGTTTGAATGTAAAGACAATAAAGACATTGGGCACAGCCCCGTAGTGGCTCGGCCTGATCCACTTTGTTTCTTAGTTACAGAGACGGGGCTGTATGAAGAGCAGCCGGCAGACCGTGAGGAGATACTCGAGGAATCTGACAAAAAGCGTAATAGATTAGAATCAGTCTCTGCCTTCAAAATACACCAATGTCTTATTTTAATTTACACATGTAAAATGACGGGCAATAATAGATCGTGATGGAACTTTCACTATCAGTACCCAGGTAGTTTAGCTGGCATCTTATCAAAGTCATAGTTTGATGGCAGTGACACTGTTCCCCTTTGTGAGTAAAATGTGAGTGAACCCGTTTTCTGTTTCACTAAGACACAGCACACGTGTTTACCCTGCAGCTATGAGAGAATCCTGGTGTGCTGCTACACGCTGAGACAGAGTTGCATAAGAGAAAATAAAAGGGAATAAAAGAGAGAACAGCTGTTGATTACAGAGTCACCATTTCAAGTTGACACCTGCTCCTGTCAGCCTAGTTTAACAGCTCACCTCAGCCTTCCTGTGGTGCGATGGAGAGAACACACACACCACTTTGAGCATCCACTGGGGTAGCGAAGGTTATGAATAGTTATGAATATTCAAAGTGGAAACTTTTCACGGGAGCTGACTGTAATAAAATGTAAATAGCAGGTGAATTATTTGCTCAGGTTGTATTTATAGTGTCATAAGCAGACATCATTGTAAACCTTCCTAATGGAAATGGAAAAAACATCAACAGTGTAGTTGAACAACAAAACAACAAACCCTTCCGTATGACCCCTCTCCAGAAACACAATGTCCCTCTCAGACCTCTGTCTCCTGTCCATGGACGTCCTCCATGACACACGTCTGCGTCGGTCAGCCGGTTGCCTGCGTTGGTGTGAGCGTTCCCAAAGGCAAGGATCAGTTGCACTCTGGGGGCGGCTAATGTAGGCGGGATCTGGAGGATGACGACTGCTGAATGAAGTGCTCGTTTACAATTCAATGAAACGGGCAGACATTTAACATGACATAAAGCCCAGTGTTGCTCATTTTAATACAGTTGGAATTTTATTTGTATAGCCTAGAGTCACAAATAACACATTTTCCCCAGAGGGCTTTACAGTCTGTGCAACATACGACGTCCTCTGTCCTTGGACCCTTGCATCAGATCAGGAAAAACTCCTTAAAGGTGTGTTTTACCCCCAAATCAGTCCACTTTAACAAATTGAAAATTGTTCAATACTTTTTCAGATATTTTTCAGAATTTCCGCAACCCTAGCGTCGAGTCGACGTTCTCCATTTGCGCCCGTTTCCTTGTCTCTCCTCCCTTGCCTTCAGAGCTACAACACCACCACAAATACAACGTCATAGATCTGTTTTCACACCAACAGGGAGTGCTTACGTGTGTGCTCACGGACGAGCACACTAGTGTCTCTCTCATATAGATGCTCTGTGGATAAGCTCACAAGAGACAAACCGTACATCTACAGCTCACAGGCTTCCCCCCCCACTGAGCATCACTCTTTGATGCATCTGGAGGGAGAGAGAGAGGGAGAGGGAGAGAGAGAGAGAGAGAGTCGTCGTCGTCACTACAGTTGTGCTTTACCCTACGTTCTCTCCCGTCTGTTTTGACCAACTTCCTACCAACCACTGACCCGGGACCTCTGCTGACCTCACCAGAAAACAACTCAGCACCATCTAGTGGACTGAAAAAGCAATTTATTTTATTTTTCTACTACCAAAACGTTTATAGTTTATATAATGAAAGATCGATACTTGGCTTCCGTGTATCGATGCAATATCGCCACGCTAAATATCGCGATACTATGCTGTATTGATTTCCCCCCCCCCCCCCCCCCCCCCTAGCGGGCTTACTGTGATTGACAGATAGGGACAGATCATACAATCAGTTAATATAGCCTGGGCCTTTAGAAGCGTTCGACTGTGTGACGTCATTGTTTGTTGCTTCCATATTGGAGCACTCTTATTGGATTGTTGTAGAGCCCTATAACTACTACCTGCAGTAGTACCATCATCAGAACTGCTTGTTGAAAATCGATGCTCCACAGAACAAGCGGTGAATGAAAAATTAATGAAATGGAAAGTGATGTTTACGTTGTAAGCGCTCAACAGTTACTTAAACTATGGACAGAAAATGAATCTGCAACTTTTTTGAGAATCAAATTATTGTTTGCATTTCTTTTTGGTTTTGTAAATTTAAAGTCTTGTGTTTTTGGGCTGTTTGTCAGACAAAACCAGACACATAACGAGGTCACTTTGCACTGGGGGAATGCTTTTTTCTTCACTATCTTCTTCTAGACAAAACAATCGTTTCATTGACAAAATAATCTTCTGATTAATCTATAATAAAAATAGTCCTTGCAGCCCTAGGAAGATGCCCACGTCTTGTCTTCCATTTGTAATAGTTGACAATGTGTTGTTTCAGAGCCCTGGAGACCAACAAGTACAACCATATCACAGCCACATACTACCTGCTAGCAGAGAGGATCCTGAGGGAGAAGCAGGAGAAGGAGGTCCAGACCCGCTCCTCCAGTCCCAGCAACATCAAGGCCCACTTCAGGTAAAGGAACAAGCTTCTATTTGAGCTGACGGGCGACCTTCCTCAGGCTGTGGCCCGTGTGCATCATTCCAGATTTTTTCTTCTTCTAGTGAAGCAGAACTATCACTGCTCATCATCATAATCTGAGTCACGGTGCGAGCCGTGAAGAGGGTAATTGACCTATCTCGCTCCACTGCCTGTCTGGCTCCCCTTGGCAGAGCTCTGCCACATTTGCTTAAGACTAGGTTAGATCTCCAAAGGTTTCATTTCCATTTATGGGGTCACTGGGCCTCCACCTGCTGGGCTCAGGGGAGGAGGTGGAGTGGGAGGGAAAATAGTCAACAGATACTCCATCATATCCTGACTTAAAGGTGATGAATCCAACAATGTGATCAAATGTATTGCCTCCACCCAGCTCTCAACGTGGATAAGTGGATAGTAAACGTATGGATGGAACCGGAGGGTGGGTGCTACATGCTACGTGCTACGTGCTACCTGTTCTGAAGAGTGAAGCCAGTGCGGAAGTGTCTTAAAGATGCATTCTCTCTACTGACCATCAGGGGGCGACTCCTCTGGTTGTGTAGAAGTCTATGAGAAAATGACTCTACTTCTCTCTGGATTTATTACCTCAGTAAACATTGTAAACATGAGTTTATGGTCTCAATCTCTAGTTTCAAGTCTTCTTCAATACAGCATGATGTTCATTTAGTAAATTATGCTTTAGGGCGAAATATGGTCACTTTGGTTCACCGGTTGCAAAAAGTCAAAATGGCGACGGCCAAAACCCCAAACTCGAGGCTTCATAACGGCATAACTACGTCCACTTCTTCTATTTAGTCTAATATGCACTAACATGCACTAAAAGGCCTACATTGCCGGCCTGGCTATGTAAACGAGCTCTGATAACAACACACACAGAGGGAGAGTCGCTTCATTGTCTGCTCTGGTAGACATTACTCCACTATATCTTTACGTAGACAATACTTGTTGTGTTTTGCTCCATTAATGCTCTGAATGTTTGAAAGAACCTTTAACGTTTCACATTCCCGTTCACTGGTGAGGTTAAGGGATGAAAGTTGTCATGAATGTATAAACTAAGAAAACACATCCTGGTTTATAACTTCAGCTTTCCAGGTGTTCCACTCTTTGCTTCCTTGCCAGCATTGTTCCTGTTAACAGGAAGGGAGAGCTGGATGGCGTACAGTTATAAAAGGAACAGGAACAAATAAGGAAGTGAGGAGGCTTCAGCGGGACAGCTGTGGTGGTGAAACAAGTCTAAGAATAATACCTTTGGGTTTTTTTATGTCCAAGGTTTATTATTTCCTCTATTCTTGGAATGGTTGAAGATGTAAAGGGTAAACAAAGGTAAAGAGGAGACATCAGTCAGTCATCCCATGTTCCAGCTGCCCACAGATGGTGAGCACATGGCAACAGTGACCTGCACACACAGTGGAAGTGTCAACGCTGAGCTGGCCTCTGTCGCGGAACACTGCATCAGAAAGTGTTTATGATTATTGCCACCTCTATTCTCACGCTTCACAAAGTGGTGCATGTGAAGGTGCTTCTCCTCCTCTGTCCTCTCAGTAGTGGAGAAGCTGCTGGTGTTTGTGAGCTCTGGTGGGATGGGCCTTTAGCCTCCTGTGCAGAGGATTGTACAGAGTACAGTGTGACCTGCTAATTGGCTCAGTGTGACCCACACGGTGGATAAGGCCTCTCGGATATGTTACAGTGTGTGTGTGAGGTAAGCAGGCCTCCAGTCCACACGGAGGAAAACATTAGACAACCAGTGAGCAGGTGTAACACTTGAGATCATATGTTGTAATGTCGGTACAGCCAATCACACACTGCAGGTGTGTTTTTTATTCATGTCTTTATGATTGGTGCAAGTCATCAGATGCAGCAGAATGGATGTTTAATGCTGGCACGGCTTCTGTTTCACTGCTCACCAGCTAGCTGCTGTAGAGCTTAACTTGTTTATTCTTAAACTGTCTCCATAACATGTCTGTCACACGTGTTTGAGGGATTTAAAACACTTATGGTACAATATATATGGACATGTCCTCCATCTTCCCCGTTGTGTTAATTTACATGAGAATGTCACCAACATGTTAGCCAACATGACGTGAGAACACACAGCAGGGTTTCCCTCCCATTAGACAACATTAGCTGTTAACAGAGCCTGAGAGTCCTTTATGTTTGCTTTAGTTGTGTTTTAATTTATGTTCCATTGCGGGTCTAATGTCTGAATATTCTCAAGAATTGACTGTAGTCCGGTACAAAACAGGTGTTCCTCTAAACGTGAGACAGGGTTGACCTGCTGTATGTATGGTGACCTAAGCAGTGATGACTAAATGCTGACACTCTTTCAGTGTTGTTTGGAGAGAAGCTGCTATCCATCACTTACTCTACACAGGAGACACGTATCTCCTGCACTAGTATGATGTTAGGACATCTCACAGCTCTCTCTCTCTCCATTGTGACGCTGACTAACCGGCTGGATAAACCCTTCCTCCTCTCTTCCGGGTCTAGAGACCGGAGGCACACTCTGTTCCATCGGGGGGGGGGGGGGGGCCCTCCCCCCTGGGGGGGGGGGGGGGGGGGGGGGGCCTTACTCACTGTGGGTGAATGGAGGAGCCGTGGTCTAGCTAACAAAGTGTGACCTTTGTGCGGCAGCGTTTTGAGACGATGACTGACGCTGAATATAAATACAGCGTGGACATAATTAACCTGTAATCAGATTCACATCTGTTGGGCTTGTGATGTAACACGAGTCCTGATCAAACAAAGCAGAGTGGAGCGATGGAGGAGGTGGATCTATTCGTCCCACTCGGGTCAGATAGTGTATCGTTTGACATTTCCATCATCTCAGTGGACTCTTTGATTTCCGCCTCTCCTCTCTGCTCCGTTTGTATTGGTCTGTATAATTACTGATCAAAGGCTTAAGAAGAGGTTTTTATTTATTTGAATGGATGAAATATGAAACTCATAGTGGGATCCTCCTGCCATACCTCTACAGGCAGTCGTGGCCCACCAGAGTGGACATGCACCAGGACATAGAGGACAGCCTGGCGGCGTCCTCCATCTCCCACGCCGGCGGCCCCCAGTCCCCGGCCCGCAGCGCAGAGAACCTGCTCAACGGACACCGCTCCAAGGGCCTGATAGAGCTGGGCCGCCGCGGCGAGGACACCACCGACTCTCCGGGACAGGTACGCCGTCCCGTCCCGTCCCATCCCGTCCCCATCGCTGGGAATGTTTGGCTCAGTTTGTTTCTGCACTGTATACTTAACATCCTGTTTTGATGTATTTTAAAGCATGTAGCTGTTTTATTTTATTATGTTCTTTAAATTTCCGTCTCATTCCAGGGAGCCGGTGCTGCTGCGTTGGGCCCCGATCCTGGGTCTGGTTCCACCAGGGCCCCCACTCCATCCACCTCAGCAGCAGCCAAGCAGCGAACGTGCCTGTTCAGGTGGGATTCAGCTTCAGTGGTGTCGTCATTTATGTCCATTTATCCCTGAACAAGAAGTTAGTTAAGAACCAGAGGAGACAGAAGAAGTGGATTCCCTATTTTGATAATGATCAGTAGTGATTCTAGAAAAAAGTCTTTTGAATATTTCTTGGTTTTGGACTATGACCGAATGAAAAGAAAACACTGAAAATGTACCATCAGACTTAAAGAATCCAATCGATTGATGCAGAAAATATTAGATAATCGTTAGTTGCAGCCCTTCTAAATTGTCTGGCATGGCGTTGCTTCGATCCTCTTTTTATCTAACAAATAAAGTCTTGTGCATTTTTCAGGTTGGTGGAGGATGAAGAGGAGGAAGAGCGGGACCCGTCCCCCCTCCCGACCCAGGTGGTCCTGAGGCGCAAGCCCCAATCCATCACCAACCGCCTCACCTCCCGGAAGAGCGCCCCCGTGCTCAACCAGATCTTCGAGGAGGAGGGGGAGTCGGACGACGACTTTGACATGGACGAGGGCCTGCCGCCCAAGCTCAGCCGCCTCAAGATGAACATGGCCGGTAACGCCGCCGGCGTGGGCTCCGGGGCCGCCTCCTCCTCCTCGTCCCCGGGGCCCACGCAGAAGCGCTACCATAGGCGCAAGAGTCAGGGCCGGGGGTCGTCGTGCTCCAGCTCCGAGACAAGCGATGACGACTCGGAGAGCCACCGGCGGCGTCTGGATAAGGACTCGGGCTTCGGCTACGGCTGGAACAGGAGGGACAGCAGCGAGGGGCCGCCCGGCAGCTCGGGGGGCAACGGGGGAGGCAGCAGCTCTGGGCAGAGCAAGCCTCCCGGAGAAGGAGGGGGGACCTCTGGTCCGGACAGGGGGAGTCCTCCAGGAGGGGGTGGTAATGGGGGAGAAGGAGGAGGAGGAGGAGGGGGTGGGGGTGGTGGAGGTGGGAGTGGGGGGGGGGGAGGAGGAGGGGGCAGCAAAGGACAGGACAGCCCCTCCAGCTGTTGTAACAACAGTAGCACCACTAGCCCCTCCCTCAGCTCTCTGGCTCGCTCTTCCCGCACGGCGAGCCGCGGCACCGAGCTGGTGGAGAGCCTGAAGCTGATGAGTCTGTGCCTCAGCTCCCAGCTGCAGCATCACCGCGCGGGGCGGGGGGGTCGAGGGGGAGGGGGTAAGTTCATCATAGACCCTCGCGGCCTCTCAGGAGGGAACGTGAAAATCCAGGAGAAATCAGCCTGGAGGATGTGCATCGGCTCCACCGGGAGCCTGGACACCATCACCCTCCCCACCACCGCCGCCCTGCCTCGCACCCACCACCACCACCACCACCCCCCCCATCACCATCACCACCACCACCGCAAAACGGCACCGCACGGCAGGGACGCTCACAGCAACCTGAGCGCTCTGAAAAGCGGCGTGCTTCAACTACCTCTGTGCGAGAAGACCATCTCCGTGAACATCCAGCGGGGCGGGGGCTCCAGGGACGGCCTGCTCTGTACCTCGGCCCCGGCCAGCTGCTGCCAGGTCATCTGAAGCCCCGCCCCCTCTCAGTCCCTCTGAAGCCCCGCCCCCTCTCAGTCCCTCTCACGTCGGATCACTCGCTGTGTTCAGCTGGAGCAGAGCCCGCCTTCACCTTCCTGTTTACGCTTGTTTTTAACTGTTGTCAGTGTGCTTACGACCCTTTTCTTTTGTTTCACGTCTCACCACGTCAGTGCAACTAGTGTGCTGCTTTCAGAACGTATTGAAATGACTGATGGTGAATATAAAGGTAGAAGTACACTTCTTTTAGCTGTACTGTGAGGGGGAAAATGTTTTTATGAGTTTAAGTCAATCATTTGGTGAAAAGGTCAATATCACGAGTCATTTTAGGAGACAACAGTCAAAATAATTTCGGAATAGTTGTAATTTCACCAAACATTTTTAATATTTAGAGAGAGCCTAAATGTCATTTAAAAAAAGTCATATTTCTGATAAAGTTGTAATTTTGAGGAAAAAGTCAAAATATTTCAAGAATAAAGTCAGAAGAACTTATTCTCATAATATTGTGACCTTCTTGAAAAGTTATGACTGATGACTTTTTACATTTATAATTACAACTTTATCCCCAAAACACTGCTGTGTTTTCTCAAAATAGTACATTTTTATTGTTAAAATGTCTTTTTTCCCTCGTAACAGCAGCCCTCATACTGTAACTACTGTACAGTAGCAGGCAGCTGACCCTCCATAAGAAACACTCCCCCCCCCCCCAAAAAAAACACCCCCACCCCCCCCCCCCACACTCTGAATGTTGGCCGGCAGCCGGATTATAAAGTGGATTTCATTTCTATGAATCCACGCAAGACGAGAGAAGTTTTTAATTTGTAACTCCAGTCTGGACTCATACTGCACTCAGACAATCCGTTTTATGTTGTTTCACTAGAATGGTTTCAGCTCATCTGTTACAGCCCGTTAGATCTGAGTGGCTCTTTATTTAAAGACACTTGATGAACGAGTGTTTATGGTGCATTCTGAATTATTACTGCTGACCAATGTAAAATGAGGTGTTCCTATTTGTTTTATTCATATTTTAAATGTGTCGCTGATAAAGAACATGAGCCGTGTCTGACTCTCCCTATCAACATCACCCCTCCTCCCCCCCTGCTGGCTTCTCTCAGTCCCACCTGCACCCACGTGTCACCCAAAGCTTACTGTACACGTGGGCGTGTGGGGTATGTATATATAAAGTATGTTGAAAAGTAAAGTTTATTTTTTAAAACTTGTACATTTTTGTTCGGAAGCGATCTGCTGTTTGAAACATGTGCGGGGGGGAGCTGTAATAAAAGATAAGAAGACTTCCAGCTTCTTAAAGGAGCCCAGAGACAGACGGGCTGTGGTGGGGGGGGGGGGGTTCTCTGAGGGCACTGGCAATAAGCTATATGGTGTGTTGCAGCTATCTGTACAGAAACATTTTTATTAGTTTCATTTTAATTTTATTCCAAACGTGTGCAGCCTCACTGGACTGAACAGAAAACAAGAGGAAAGCTCTGTCTGATGTTTCTTTCTCTCCGTTTGTCGTCTGAGTTCTCTTTTTCAAACCAAATGTAAATAGAGTGTAAATACGGTGCTCCGTCTCTCCATCTAGAACAGCCGGGTGAGCCCTCTGGTGCATAGCTGTACAGTGATCTAGCCTTATAATTAGTACTACTGTATGGGCGTCTCAGCTGAAAACAAAGCAAGCCTATTCATACTGTCGGGTCCGTCTGACTGTCGTCTTACTCGACTGTATCCGGGTGAGTGACGTGCATGTGTTTCAATGTTTGACATTCAGTGACACAGAATCAGCCACCATGTTACTGGACCAAAAAGCAGCAGGAAAGAAGAAGAAAAACAAAAAAAAGAATTGGAACCGACAGAAATATTCAGTGTATAATTCTGTAGTTGATACCTGTTGTCAGAAGTTGCATATAGCTATGGTAATATCCAAAAATAAAATGTGGAATACTGTCTCATACGTGTGGTCTTCTGAGTCTTTCTTGGTTGATTTTATTTCATGTTTTCTTCAAACCGGGCGAGACCGCTGATCCTCGAGTCACGGAGAATAACTCCCAGCACTAAAGCGACACATTAAGAAGTTGATGCGGCACCAAGTCTCTTATTTCCACATCCAGTGAAGCATGTTCCAGGCTTCGAGCGCTTCAATCCAATAACGGGCCAAACACACAGCAGGTGCAGCTGGACGCACGTTTCATTTCCCTTTTTATTTTTTTTATTACGGTTTCAATCTACTTTGTACATTAGATAATGTAAAAACCAGAGCGTAGAATAACTAATATTCAGATATTGTCAGTGGAAATCAATGGCACCTGTCATAACATTATGAAGGTAGCTGACTGACATGACAGCAGGATTTAGTGTGCCACAGGCCCTCGACCTGTTCCAACAGGAGGTTGAAGGTGATTTGGAGGACGTGTCAGAGCAGGAAGACAACTCTGACTGATTATTGACTAGTTTATGATAAGCATGTTATGTTTTGTGTTCTAAGTGGTAAATGTTGAATTAATATTGATAATTAAGATTTCTTATGATATAGCAGTGAGGACAGCGTTTAATGGTTGCAATGATTAAATATGTTTATGATGTAAATTCCAACAGACATATACTATGACTTTCACCTGACTGTTTTTGAAGTACTATACTATTACTTTTTTCGACATACTGAATCATGCCTTTTTAAAAGAAGCTTTACTTAACTACTATACTATGACTTTTGAAACCTGTGACTTTTTTTTGACATACTGCACTACGACTTGTTTTATGACTTATTTCGACATACTGCACTGTGGTTTGTTTTTCACTTTTTCTCGACATACTATGCTATAACCTTTTATCAGTCTTTTTACATACAATACTATGTCAAATACTATAATATGAGGGTTTTCTAAACTTTTAAAAATCTTTTTTCGACATACTATACTACGACTATGGCTTTTAATATATATACATATATTTACAAATATACATACACATAATGTACATATATATCATAAATACATATTTTGATAGTCATATTGTTTTGAGGTATCGGGGCACTTTTAGAATTCATTTGAACTAACTCCCAAAAGAATCGTAACATTCCAGGAGATGAATCAGTGAAAACCAACAAGGAAACATTTCATTTCCTCCTTTAGAAGCTTTCAACAGACTTTATTCTCCTCACTTTCTATACATCAGGTCATGTAAATACCAGAGCACAGAAAAAAAACTAATATTCAGATTGCAATTCAAGGCACCACGGGTGTTAAAAGAGCTCCATATTACTGACTATACCCTGGTCACAGTGCATGCTAACGCAAGACAACATTACAACAAGTCTGTGGAAGCAACAACATTTTAAGCACGACCATCGACTTCCTGTTGAAATATAAATACCATACATGTACTGCATTAAACATTTGATTGCTTCTTCTTGGGATCCACACATTGAAGTTTGAATTTTTAAATCTTATTTTGGTAACAGTCATTTTGTTCAAGATTTTAATTACAATCATATATCCAAAAATAAAAAGGTTTTAGCAACATGTTTATAGCTTTTTATTTCTATCAGACAATTTCATTTCCTTTCTGAATTTGTTAGCATTTAAACATTTCTTTTAACGAATTAAGTTTTTTGAAATGACCTCATGAAAAGTTCAAAGAGCAGAATTCAGACCACATAAACGAAGATGCTTTTCAAAGTAAAATAGTGTTTAACATTTCAACACCACCGACGTATTCAGTAGAGATTTCACAATAATGTGTTGGCTTGCGTATGAGACTGGAACTTTATGGCTTCATTTGCTTCTTTACTTGGAGTGCACAATACAACATGATCACATGTCGTCAACAACGAGCAGCTTTAATAGTTTAGCCAGTCGGTGAATAACTGGAGGCTTTGGTTTACTGTGTTCACACCATTACTCACACATATGACAGAACAGAAAAAAAGTCCTTTCATCATCACTTCATATGAGCTACAGTACGTCATAATACAGCATTCATCTGTGATTTCACCACCTGCTGTGAAGATATTGCAGATAAGCAAAAAAATAAAATCAGCCCCACGAGCTCCGTAGGGGTGTGGTCTTGATACGTACACGTGTCCTGTATAAACTGTGTGAGGCTGTGTGAAGCGGGTGCCGGCGGTCCGTCACCGTCTGCAGGTCCTCCTCTCCTCCTCACTGGATGGTCTTGCTGAGCTCCGAGGCCTCGAGCATTTTCTGAAACAGAGCGACAGGTTCATGTGGATTTGTTCCGCTGCAGTAACGTGCTGCGTGTGCGGGTCAGCCTGTCATTTATTTAAAAGGAATTGGCATCCATCCTGCTTTGGTACAGTAGCCGTGCAGTTTATTGGAATGATAAGCAGAAAGCAGCTTCCCACCAGGATGACTCTGATGATGTGCACGTAGCCGAGGAGGAGCTCTGTGGGCCCTGGTGCTGTTTACAGAACGTCTCATTGGTCCCGTTTATTAACACTACGTCAAGCTAACTGGAGATCAGACAGGTCGGAACCAAACAGACTTATTAGGAGGAGAAAACGAAGGCCGACAGTAAAATCTGTGCATCGTAAAAATCCGTCAGTTCACTCTTTACTTTACTTACAATGGAGCGGCCTCAGTAAGCCTCAAAGATTCAGGGCCCCACATCCATTTTTCTGAGAGCACAATCAGTAACTAACTACTAAGTAACAGCAAGATAAGAATACGCACAATTCAACCAAACCGCTGAAAGTCTGGGAGACGCCTGATAGTTGACGTTACGCCCTCTGTGTGTTCACCGTGCCAGGGGCTGCTCGGTCCCGCTTAACGGGACTTAAGTCCCGCTTAACGGGACTTAAGTGGCATAAACGAGTAAATGAGCCACACCGTCATCTCCCGCGGCCAGGAGACCACCGCCGGGAGTAGAGAGCATCCGCCGACTCCGGGAAGAGAACTCCCTGTCAGAGGCTGCAACGACCCGTACAACTAATTGCTAAGACAGGAAAGCAGGCAGCAGGATAGTCTTATTCATGTACGTTTCTAATGCAATACATGGTGGACACAGTCAATGATTGGAGAGCGTCTGGAACACCTGAAACACAACAGGCTCCATGAATGTGAGGACCACAATCAGAAGCTTCTAGCCATTTGGTTTTATTTACCGAGATTGTTAGTGGCGCTCTGCTGACAGCGCACAGCTTTAGAGGGAAAGGGGAGCCGGAGCTGCACCGCGAGCCAAAACCTGATCCTGAAACACAGGGCTGGTCTTCTCGCAGCTGTCCAAACACCACTGGGGTTTTTCCCACGAGGTTACACAGGAGCAGAAAAGAGCAAGACAGTGTGTGTGTGTGTGCGTGTGTGTGTGTAGAATAAGGGCCGTACTCTACACACGGTTGGCCCCGATGCTCTCCAACGCGTCCCGGTTGCTCTCTAATAATGCCCCGCAGCTTTGAAGACGCTCCACTTCCCCGGAGCCTGATCTTGGCAGAGTTACTTTGTAATCAATTTATTCTTTCATGCTTCTGGCGAGACGCGAAGCGGCCGGTTCTTCTGTCCCACAGACTGTTTCCACGGAGGGGTTTGTGCTGAGGCAGCCGTTTAGCCCTCTGAGCGGATTCTTCAAGGGGGCTAAACACCAAAAGAGGCAATTAAAGCCTTTTTAATAACCAACTGAAAGACCGGAGAATCCAGAGAACGAATCCGTTTTAATGAACAGGACGCCCACAGCTTTGTAGGGATTTCTGGGGGGATGGGTTTGCAAAGTAAAAAGATAATAACTGCTCTAACTGAATACCTCTAAACTCTTACTCGTGATATCAAGAGATACTTGAGGGTTTGGTTCAACACTGAACTGAAAAGTCACTATTGCAGCAGGACACTTGTTAGCAGAGTGGTGGCTTTGTGCCACTCTAATGCAGTTTATGACAGCGTGCCACAGAGGGAGGTTCCTATTGGCCTGAGGGTGGGATTACTTCTTTCAGAGGCTTTTCACAGAGTTCTAAACGAGTTCTTAGCTAAAGGTTTACTGGTGAGTTGTAGCTTCTGCTTATTGGCCAATCAGGAGAGTTTCAAACTAAAGTTTACATTTTTAAAAGATTGGTGATATGTGCGCCTACTTAACACAAAATCTCAATATATCTAGAGTTATATCAAAATCCAATCATCTTTTCTTTCTGTAAACTAAATACGACGTGTGCTTACGTAAGCTAGCACCATCAATATCACGACATCCATCTATCAATAAATAAATCTGCAACTTTTAGCGACAAGGGAGGTGTGTGTGGAGTGAACAGTGCTCCGTAGCGCACTACATTCTAAGCCCGCCCCCTTTTTAGCGGTCCAATCAAAAGCAAAGGATATGATTTCAACCCCTCTGGTAACCGCACGCCGCTCAAATATTCTGTTTCACTGGAGAATACGTCACAGTACAGAAGCTAAAGACGCTCTAACTTCCGTTTACAATCTACCGGTAACTAACACAAAGAGGGGGGCCACTGGCTGGGATGACAGCACTCTGCATGTAGCATGAAGGGTGAGAGTTGTTATCCCTGCGTGACTGTCTGATGGAGGCCTCTGGCCTTCATGGATCCTTCCTTAAACACTGCTGAATTCTAGCAGCAAATGTTCACATTACCCGCAGCATTAAACCACTAATCCATCATCAAAAGAGTCGCCACTCGTCGGCCATCGACTAATCGACTAATCCGCTAATTGTTTCAGCTCTACATACTGACGTTTATTGGTCAAAGCCCGATATTGAATACAATTCTTTACAGTCCGGCAACAGCGATCCAGAACCAGCCCCAAGCACTCGTTGTTTAGACATCACTGGGGACAGTAACCTCCGCCTCACCCACCACTTGTAGTAATCCGTGACATAATGTACTGCAACTACAACGTACTCTTCACCTTTGATATTGTGGACACGCTCAGGGACCGTGGCGGGATGTAACTTTCCATAATCGTGATTGTCTGGTTCAAACATAGACTGTATATAAATATCCTTATATATAGTACATGGTTCACAGTCACTCACCGTGTTGCTTGCTAGCTTAGCAACAATTCCATAGGTTAGCCGGTGCCGTCGTACTGCCATGTTTGTTGATATCAGACACACAGATGACGCTTCTTAAACACGAATCACGAGCCTGCCGTGTCAGTTTGATTATAAATGTATTTATGAAGATCTATGGTGAGTTGTTGTGTCTTTCTAGCCAAACGGCTACTGTGGTGCTAACATAACAGCTAGCAGGCTCTCGCGCCAACAAGATGCGGCCGTGCTCGGCTCGTGATTGGGTCGGGGCTGGTGTATGGGCCGGACCTCGATACCACGGCTCCACTTCCCGGTCACTACTGCGAAGACACTGGCTCCAATTGCACAAGATGGCGGCGCCCGAATCCAGGTTATTTTGGCTTCATTTTTGTACAGTGGGAGGAAGGGGAGACGCATCGTCCATCTTTTCATACAGTCCATGGAGGCATGTGTACAATACAGGGATGCTTTCAGGAAGTGTCTTTTCATATGTATTCACTGCGATGACATCACATGGAAGTTCTCAGCTGTATCTACTCTGTCTAATGAAGTCAGGGTTGAGGTATGAAGTGCTCTTTCTGCTGTGATTGATCTGCTCAGATGGCGGTGTGAAGGAAGGTGACTTGTAGCTGGAGAAGTGCAGCCAAGAAAGTCACTTGTCCATCTGATCAAGTGTCTCCTGTGGGAACGTGAGATCTCCCTCACCACTTCATCCTACATGCCCTCCTGTGACTGTCGGTGTGCATGTTGGCACAGAGCCAATGAGCAGCTACATTAATATCATAGCCTGCAGTCAGAGCTGTCAGCAACTACTGATCTGTAGAAGTTGATGTGCCGACATCTGCTGAGAAGAATGATGAAGTCTAAAAAGCTTCTCTCAGCTAGTATGATGAAGATATGGTGAACAGAATATTATTTTAGTTCATTTCTGTCATTTAAAATTCATTCAGATTAAGGTATTATGATGAGAAGTCAACATGCGTTTGTACCAGGCAGCAAACTCCGGTTCTGAAAAGTGAAACCAATGCAGAAGTGCTTAAAACCTGCATTCTCTCTAATGACCATCAGGGGGCGACTCCTCTGGTTGTATAGAAGTCTATGATAAAATAACTCTACTTCTCTCTTGATTTATTCCCTCAGTAAACATTGTAAACATGAGTTTATGGTCTCAATCTCTAGTTTCAAGTCTTCTTCAATACAGCATGATGTTCATTTAGTAAATTATGGTCCATTTAGAGTCAAATAGACCATAAAGCAGAGTATGCTTTAGGGCGGGCTACATTGTGATTGACAGGTCTGGAATTTGTCCGTGTATCTAAGAACTGTAATTCTTTCACAGTGCGTTTTCAGTTCATGGAGGATAAGTGCAACATTTTTGTCGCTTAAAAATATATTTAGCATCAAGTTTCACTTAGCTCCACCCTCTCTCTGTCCTTGTCCTGCGTGAGGGTCAATGTATGCTGATGAAAGTTAAGAGTCTGAGTGTAGTTCTTCCCTCCTACTGTAATATGTGCGCACCAACTCTGGCGTCACTAGTTTGAACGCCACAAAAAGAAAATGACATAATCAAAACCCAAATATAAATGTTTCTGCAACATTTGTGTTCATTTGGTCTCTTCTAACTACGCAGCCTAATTTTGTTCCCCAACCGTCTCGACTGTCTTTCTGTCTGCTTCAGTCAATACATTGTAATGCTGTGCATCGTCTAGCAGTCTAACTACCTTTATTTGTCTCTAACTCAGTCACAGTAATTTTCTGTCTGTCTGCCTGTGTGTCTGAGGTCAAACAGACTCATCCGCTGCAAACAGGGCTCTTCAACAAGCTACGGGGGGAAAAGGAAACCATTTACGCACCGGTTCATACATTTAACTTGAGTAAATGACCTGTGATGAGGTTAAGTATGATGCCATGCTGACTGTTAAATCGACTGGTTTAAATCCCGGTTATAGCCGGGGGGAAGGGGATTCTGCTAAATATCCAAACTCACTCATGTTATATCACAGACTCACAAACAAACCACTGGAGTTAGGAGATTAGATGAGCATCCAAGTGCACAACAGAGAAAACACAAAACCCTTTTAAAACGTCACTCCAGTCTCCAAACCAAATATCACCCAAACTCACATAGCCAGAGCTACTCACCCTCCACGGAGCGATCTCTGCAGAAGCAAGAGACCACAGAGCAACACTGTTCACACCCAACGAAACAAAAGGATACACCAGGCCATGGCAAGCATGTCACCAGGACAGGAAATAAACTAGCGTTGTACGCAACTTGCAGTTTTATCCAACAGACTAATGTAACAATGTGAATTGTGACCTTTCAGGGGTAAGGATTGACCTACAATCTGTGTGTAACCTGTGTTACAACGACCGGATTATGTACATTGAGGACGGGGAAGCTGTATGTAAAGGGTCAAACATGTATAAATGGCTGCGTACTGTGCAGCAGCAGACGTATGACAAAGAATACGCATGAGAGAAATGATGAACCAAGAGCCACACAGCTCATCAGAAAAGCACTCAGCCTCCGTCAGCCCACATCAAACAAATGGCTGCGGTGCCGAGCAAGCTAATGCTTTACCGCAGAGGAGCCGTGTCAATACTATTAACATAGGGCACGCCATTTGTCTTCGGCAAAGTGCTCTGGGACAGGCATCAAGAGCTCATACTTAATGCTAAATGGGAAGCTATGGGCGAGCATGTTCTAATGGATGTAAGCATAACATCGCTGTGTACGTTGTGTGGGGAGGCTGGTAGCCTGACGAGGGAGTTATTACGGCCTCAACGGGACCACCACGTGTGTGTGTGTTTATCCTAATGTATGTGTGAGGACATAACCTTCTGATTATACACGATAATCAGAAGAAGATACACTAGGGCTGGACAAAATTTTCTATCAGCAATACCATCGCAATGTATGCAGATGCAAGAATTATATCTACACAAATAAAACTGCTTATACAGCAATTAGCGGAGTTTGACTTCATAGGTCACACATGAAGAACTTGGTTAACATGGTCACCAGTAGAGCTGTGTATTGGCAAGATGCTGGCAATACGATATGTATCATGTTACAGGTGGAGGATTCAATATATTGCCATATTTCGCCATATATTGCAATTCTGTCAATTGTATTTTATGAAAACTGTCATTTTAAGGCTGTAACAATTTTACATTTTCCCGACAGGATTATTGTGGCCAAAAGAGTTCCCGATAACGATATTATTGCGATATCTATATAAAAATCAGAAAAATGAAATGCTATCAGTCAAATTCATCTCTGAACTTTGTTTATTGTGCTTTTTGACTCTTTTTTATCAGATGAATTACACTTAAGATACGAGCAGAGGGAGGGGAGAGTCTGTAACATAGCTGTAGAAATACGTGACTTAAGAGGCGAGAGATTATTTAATTATTCTCTATACCGGTTTATCATGACACCCCTATGTAAAAGTATTAAGAACATGCCGCCATATGCATAAAAGTTCAGAACTGTGAACAGAACAGTGGGATCTGATTTATCACTTTATGTCCTTATAACATCCAACATCATGTACTGCATGTAGACTATTACTGGAAAATGGATTAAAATGTTTTTAGGAATTGATACACAAAATTGAATATAGTCTATTCTTAGACAACTAATCACTAGTCCCTCACAATGGACTAATGCTCACACGCCCATTATGTGTTGATTATATTTACAAAGCAGACACACCTTCTCCAGCAGCGTCTGAGCTAAAGACTAGCTCTGCAGTAAAAGGTGTGATATATACACGATACCATTTTGGTTTTAAAGCAATGAATTCCCACTGCAGGTCAGTAACGTTAAGCTGTTCAAGTGTGCTGATGATTGCCGCTTTACTTTAAGAGTGGAAACTGAATATTTTGCTCAGGTTTCCAAAGCGGGAGAATTGTGTGAATCTGGCTTCCTGCTGGTTGAGGCTGAGAAAACAAAGGAAGTCATTTGAAACCACGCCATCTGTTTCCCTCTGTGATCAGTCTGTGGGAGGTTTTAGTATCTGGGAACATCCTGACGTTCACAGACACTGTTGATGCCATGTGTAAAACAAAAACAGTCCTCGTCCTACCAAGGAAGCGTCCTTGACTTTGATATGAAGACCCAGCCTGTTGGTCACTAAGCGTTTGAACTGGATAACGGTGCTGATGAGGACAAACTCTCACACACTGTTAATGCTCAAGGCCATCACCACAACACATTCCAGTAGGACCTTCCTTAATGGGGTCAGACATGACCTAGTGCTGTGCATCGGAGGCTCAAACCCTGTCAGCGTCTCTGGCATCAGACTACCTCCCCTTTGTGTGTGTGCTGCTCCTTTTTAAGAAGCACGCACACATATGAAACATCTAGTGCTGAGAGATCTGTTCATGGTCTTCTGTCACTCTTAGAAGTCAGGGCATGTGTCTATGTAGTAATGCGGGAGTTTCATTGGAAGTCGGATAACATGCCCAGAGCTCCCACTGCTTCTCAAACATAAAATTCAAGGATTTCCCAAGCCCAGGACCTTCTAATGCAAAGACCCAACACGTCAGAGTTTGAGACAGGGATGGAGGTTAACTACTGCAACAACACGGAGAAGTAGCAGGCTCTACAGAAGAGTTAAACAAAGAGAGCCTGGAATGTGTGCGCACTTCTCAACTGTGCTGTTACATAGTAAATACAAACATCAGAACTTTAATTTATATTCTTGCACAAAATATATAAATTCAAGCACTTTTAAAGACCCATGTCTATTTATAGACACTTTCAAGGTCTGGATTTTTCACAAACTTTCTTCTTTTTTATTTATTATTTATTTATTTTTTTAACAGCAGCAAACAAGCGCAGAGATAAATTGAATCCAGTTCATCAGTCTTCAGAAACAGCTTATCTTGTTGCACTCGTGTCTCTCTCACTAGTTAATGTAACTAAAGTTCTGTTTGCGTCACTTTCTGTGGACAATGCAGCTCAGAGGACGTTTTGCATTTACTCAGCTGCTTCTTTTAGACATCCACTCACAAACCTTTTGCCTAAGACTCGTGTTACTGTTAGCGCCACGATTAACCCTTTTTAAGCCCTCGCTCTTTTATACATTGGATCAAGGAGGTCATGATGCGTCTTCAAATCAAGAAACCGAGGTTACCTTTAAACGGATGATTTATAATATATAATACTATCTGGTTTCCCCTCGTTGGTTATATAGAATAGATCCTTTCCAGCATCTTGATAGGTAATGTCATTCATAAGTAGACACTCTGACCGTTCAATGCTAATAACATGTATATTTTTATTTTATTGTATCACTGGTTTTATTTTAATTTGATGTATTTTTGCTCGAGGATACTGCTTCAGTTATACTTTATAGTTGTGATATAAAGGGTCCACCACAATATGACAGGCTTGTTCCGTCATTAAAATATATAAATTGGTTCCGATATTCTAAACATGAGAAGCCTACAATCGTCTAATTGTGCTGCATTCTTTTCTTGTATAGTCGTCGCTGTTGTTGTCGAGTGGCTTTACGTGGAAGTGACTGTGTTGTCAGGTTTTACCTTCTTCTTGAGGGCCTCCAGGGATTCAAACTCCAGGCGGGCCAGATTGATCTGGATGTGTTTGGGAACATCTGGGATGAGGAAGGTCAGGATGAACTTGAAGGCCAGCAGCCCATGCTGAAATCACACAACAGACACATCACATGGAGTAACAGATACTTTAGACCCTGATGTTTGTATGTGCATCCTTTAAAAAAGAAAATGTAGTAAGGAGGGCATGCTTTGAAAGAAAGATCGACATAACTTGATTATGTTTTTGATGGTATACAGGACACATGGTATCAATAGTTCCCGGGTGAGGCTCTGTGTCTGAACTACAGGCATCTGAGCTTCTTGCTTGTATGGGAGGCTTTCTGTATTCTGTCTGGTTATCAACAAGTGAGACACATGACCGTTATCTTGCCGACCTGTCCTAGACTTGGGGAGCAATGCATAAAAGGGCTGCGACTCTAGACCCACGATATCTACTAGTGTACAAATGAAGCTAATAAAATAAAAATAAAAAGGCCTCCTTGAGGTTCTATGCATCCACCATCCAGTCAAGTCAGAGTTTACATCCATGTCCGTCCAAAATGTCAGCACAGATATCTTCTGTGTCAGCGCTAAAGAAAGGGCTGACTCAACACGTTATCATTCTGATATAGAGGCGAAAAAACCCTTATTTGTATTTCCTTAAACCAATCACAATCGTCTTGGGCGGCGCTGAGCACAGGACGCCGCGACGGTGATCTTGCCACAGCGCAGATAGCAGCTTGTAGAGGACAATGCTGCTAACAATGTGCACAGTCTGCATCTGGTCAGTCAGACGACAGTCACCTGATCTTTGACCTCGAACTACCAAATTTGTTAAGTTCAAGAGGATGTTTGTGCCAGATGAAATTAAATTCCCTCCTGTTGTTTCCTGGGACGTTCACGAGAATGGGACGCACGTGAGGTCTCAGTGACCTTCACCACCAAAATCTAAAACTTACTACGATCAATTCAATATGATGGACTCCAGAGCCAAACAATAACAAACTGTCCTATTGCAGATAGTACTAATGACTTCTTTGAACCAAAATATCACAATAAACCATCCTCTATATTCTATTGCAACCTGGTGTTCCAACACTCTACGCTCTAAAGTACATGTGCTATATGAGGGTACGTGTGAAAACTGCTGATACAGTACCAACTATTACCCAGCAAATTGTGTGATGATAAATGTCTTCTCAGCTGCTCTGGTTATCAGACACAGGTGACCTGCACACACCTGAATCAGCAGGACGTGTGCTTTCCCATGAAGATGACAGTACACATTCACGTCCATTAACGCTGAGCAAACAGCTCTCAACTGCCACCGTCCACACACACATTCACACACCTGTGCCATCTGGAGGACCGCCAACTGCCATCAGCTCCTTTGATTCAAGACCCTTTTTCCTCATCACGGTAATGGACCGATGCGTGCTACAGTAGACAGGGAGCAGACTGCTTCACAGAAATGGGTTTCTGGCTTGTAGATGGAAGTGATTTGGGTGAGACGAATGATTATGAGCTTCCAGTGGTAATACGCTTCTGTGACTCTCTAATGTTAACTTCACAGGGCTCACCCACACAATGTTGATATGAGCTTTAACCAAGGTTGTTAACCTACGTTTTTGAAACCATTCCTTGTAGACTTTTTAATTTGATGAAATACTCCCGTCACCAACAGTCCAATGATTGTCCTCAGGGGTCTTTAGCTAGGATGTTACCGATTATTTGTGCACAGGTAACACAAGGTGAGGTTTTTGGAAAATGTGTGGATGAACTGTGTTGCCTCGATTTACTTCCACGATGAGCTGTCAGACAGAAATGGTAATTATGAGCCCTGGTGGTGAGTAAAGGTCTGTCCTGAGCCTTTGCCATTTCAAAGAGTTTTTTACATTTCTGGCTTCAGAAGCTCAGATTTTTTGTCATTCCAGTCAGCACAGCAGCTCCGCTAATTAACAACGGAACGAGAGAAGAAACCCCTGACCCGGGGGACTTGTCACATTGATGGAAAGTGCACAATAAACACGCCGGCTCTTAGTTGATTGCTAATGCTATTGGAGGCTAATTTATATTTCTGAGTGATTCAGCGGCGCAAGGTTAAGTTGAGACTGAGAGGACGGCGCCTGAGAACGTGACGTCTGAAATGTTGTTCTGTTCAAGGTCTGACAATAAATTCTGTTGTGCCCGACACTAAAGGATGTGATGGAAATTCAAATGCAGTTTTAAAGGTGATTTCATTGTCATCGCTACATGGAACTTGACTGGTCTTCTCCTTCACCCACATGATCCCCCATGTCTAGTTAGAACCCAGTGGGGGTCCTAATCCAAAGACTGTCATCTTTAACCATGAGAGCAGACATGTCTTTGAGAGCATGCGGCTGCATGGCTGACTAGACTGCTCTTTCGGCACTTAAAGCTGTTACCATGGCACCGCTTTACTGTGAATTGAGATACTAACATTTCAATCCAACTGATGAGGAACTGCTAGTTCTGCAGTTTCATGTGTAATCTGACATTAGCAGAATATAATATTCAAACTCAGACTCTCCGGCACGTGATATGGAGTTATCACTACTTATCACTGGATTTCCTTTTCCTGGATCAGCCCAGTCACCAGGAGAGGAGGATACGTCGACAGTCGACGTTTTTGTATTACATCTGAGCAAGTGACGTTATATATTGAGCAACCGTTATTGAAAGTTACATCGTACAAGTACAACATGCGAGAAAGTCCACTAAGGGAAAATGGAAGGGGTGCAAACACAGGACTTTAACCCAGGACACAGCAATTCCTGTCTAGGGATGGGTATCGTTAGGATTTTATCAATACTAGTACTCTAATTGAGTCTGCTTATCGGTTCCTTTTGTTTATATTGTGAGAAAAAAAGACATTTAATTAAGAAAAGAATCAGCATTGCTTTATTATTCTTGTATGTAGTATACAAACAGTCTTTCTTGAGCAGCAATAAAAAAAGTTCCAAAATCTTTAAAATACATTTGCAGCTAAATAATTAGCGAAGTGATTAGCTTTCATTGATTAGCCTGTTCTTATGATCAAACTCTGTAAAGCATCACTAACGTTACCTGCAGTGGAGGATGGACGGCTGCTCAACAAACAGTGGAAAACTGCATTTCTGCAGATTCATGATCTGCTTGTTTGCCAAATGTTTTGATAAATTACTGGTGTTGCCTCCATTGCTTGTGAGGGTATTATTGCATTTGATACAACTAGAGTTCTCAGCATCCACTCGAGTATTTCTGTTCTCTTTACATAATGCGTGTCTCACGTACTGAGCTGGAGTCGGTGTGTGTGTCGGGAGTAAAGCACGACTCCGCCCCTCACGGATAGACAGGCATAGAGACAGAGAGACAAGATCTCACTCTGTAACTTCTAAAGAACCGATAGCAGAACCGTTAACTCCGGACCTTATCAATATTCAGGGTTTTTACTCATTTGGAACGATTCCTATTTAGAATCGAGTTTCAGGCGGCATCCCTATTCATATATAATCTGATTATCTAAAAACACAGTGTAAGGAGATTACTGTGTGGTGGGCGGCGGAAAATAATCGTGGAGAAACAGACAAACTGGCAAAACCCAGATGGAAGTGGCACACAATGGCCCCTTTATTACCAAGCTCAGCTACTATGATGACAACGTGTTTCTCTTTGTTGAAATGAAACTGTGGGACACCAGTCTAGACTTCATGAAACAGAATTATGATTGAACCTTTTACACTAAAGCTAGTCAAATCAACCTGCTGAACCTTTAATGAATAAAGTCTTACTGAAATAGAATACTGTTTATTTAAAGCCGGTATGTCTTCACAGTGTTTTAGCATCTTTCGGCACATTTTTTTGGCACACAAATGTACTGCTAGGTTCAGTCTCATCACTCTCATCAACCTCCAGCTGACACGCACAGTAAGAAGCTAGCTGGTGAACATAGTGAAGCAGCATCTTCTTAATGGGTTGGTGAGACCAAACCAGAGCTAAAAGGTGAGTTTGATTCATCAGGTGGCCAGAAACACGACAGCCATAACAACCAGTCAGCAATTATCAAGCTTCAATGTGTTGAAAGCATATTCTGCCAAATAATTAGCTAATCCGTCTTTAACTCATACTGCCTGAACACTGACGCAGATATAACTGTTTCAACTGCATTTTTTACTCAGATTTGATGCATATGGTAGTGTGTTCTTTAACTATGACAGTTTTCCTTCAATTTAATTAAACAATTCTCAGTATATTGCCTCTCACAGTATCGCAATATATCGACTCGTAACCCTTGTATGACGATACGTATTGAATCGCCAGAGTCCTGCCAATAGTCCTATTAATGAATACAACCTTTACAAATACTCCTCAGTATGCAGATCCAACATGTTCTGGTTTTTTGGCCCTGATTGGACAAAGACTGAAGGGAAAACCTGCGCTGTTGGTTCAGGACGGTCCAGGAGGAATTACACCACACAGGCTATTACTCCATCATACAATTCTGATCTCTTGTGCGTACGGTTTTGTCAAAATAAAAAAATTTAAACTGCATATTGTACTTTAAATCACAGATAAAATGATTAATCCTTGAAAACAGTTCATGCCTTGAGAGAAGTGGTTCTAAACTCATTCTGTATTAACCGACATAAATACAAATCCCCTACTCTGGAGATGAATGCGGGGTGAAAAATGTACGAGCATATTCGCCACTGTTAGAGGGGGGCCGGAGGGGGGTCAATATTAGTGGGGCACTGGCCCCCACTAGGCCCCCCTTAGAACCGTCATTGTTTGTGAGCAGATAGATCCGAGACGCTGAGGGAAAGTCTCTGCTTCTGTCGCCGGCCGGCCGGTTGCCTGGTTACTGCTCACTGATGTGTGTAAGTCCTGTATAGTAATTATTCAGGTATCATGGCAGCGCTGCTGGAAAGAGACGAGACGCTGCTCTCCCTCCCGCCAGCCCTCGCCCTATAACCAAGATAAGAAGGGCTGACTGATTTGATTTTAACCCCTTCTTTAAAAAAGAAAAGGAGGTTCAAAGATGATGACTGACCTGTGAAAGTGAAATCTGAAACTGTTGGAGGAAAAACACACACTTAAAATGCACG